TTTTTTTTGCAGCTAATGGGAACCAGTAGTGCCTTCAAGCTGGGATGTGAGTGTGTCCTCCCCAGATCAAAAGCTGAGGCGCCCAGAGCGGAAAAGCTGGGGGAATAAATTGCATCCTGTCAGCTGGGACGTGTGTGTGTGTGTCCCTGTCCCCCCCCCTCCTTGTGTCCTACAGCCCCTACAGAACCTGTCCTGGGGAGAGGGGCACCCCCAGGATTTGGGGTTAGAGGCAGGAGGGTCAGGGCTCGCTTTTGGCTGGGTTTTTTCTTATTTTTAATTATTATTTCCTCCCCTTCTTTCAAGCCAGGCTTTAAAAAGACAAAGTAATCAGACCCTTTGTGCCCCCCCGGGGGGGCAGAGCTGCTATTTAGAGATGGGGTTTACTATATAGGTAGGGATGTGGCTTTTAAGTGGAGATAATAATAGAGGGGCAAATGTAAATACATCCTCAAGTCAAGGGAGAGAAGTTTTTAACTCTGTGCCCTGTTGCTCCGCCGTGGCCAGACTCCAGTTTCCCAGGAATCCCCATGTGCCAAATGCTGCTTTACCCTTTCGGGTCCTTTTAGGATGAGTTTAAGGGGAGGGTGGGGGGGGGACACCCCCCAATATAGGGGTTTGCACCCACAGGAAGGGTTAAAGGAGGACAAACGCTTTTGGCTGGGTTTTTTCTTATTTTTAATTATTATTTCCTCCCCTTCTTTCAAGCCAGGCTTTAAAAAGACAAAGTAATCAGACCCTTTGTGCCCCCCCGGGGGGGCAGAGCTGCTATTTAGAGATGGGGTTTACTATATAGGTAGGGATGTGGCTTTTAAGTGGAGATAATAATAGAGGGGCAGATGTAAATACATCCTCAAGTAAAAGGAGAGAAGTTTTTAACTCTGTGCCCCGTTGCTCCGCCGTGGCCAGACTCCAGTTTCCCAGGAATCCCCATGTGCCAAATGCTGTTTTACCCTTTCAGATCCTTTTAGGATGAGTCTAAGGGGAAGTTTTGGGGGGGACACCCCCCAATGTAGGGGTTTGCACCCACAGGAAGGGTTAAAGGAGGACAAATCTGGTCCCGAGCGGGTGTTATTCCCTTTAAAAGGTGTAGAAAATCAGGATATGGAGCAAAATAGGACCCCAAACTGGGGCAAAGACATCCCGGGATATCTCAGGGTGCTCCAAAGGCCAGGAATCTCATGAACTAATGGGGAAAGAAGGCTTAAGAGGAAAGAAGGAGTAATATGTGAGGATTTATTTCCCTTTCTCCATTACAGCTGGTTATTCCCAGCCGGGGAGAGCGTGTTTCTGCCCATCATCTCCTGGTTTTTTGTCACCACCGAGCACAGGACAGCAGCTACCTGCTTTTACACACTTTATTATTTTACACACTTTATTATTTTACACACTTTGTTATTTTACACACTCCCCTGTAGGGTTTTTCACTCCCTCTAAGGGAACGTGGATGGGGAGAAAAACCTCCAGCTGAAAAGGGGGAGATCTAGGTTTTAAATGAAGTAGCTCAACATCCCTTCCACCCCCCCAAAAAAATAAAAAAGAGAAAGAAAAAGCAACAGGAGGAGCCGGCTGCGTTGTTTTATTCTCATAGGTATTTTTCCACAATTTTCTGATTTTTGCCCTTATTCCAGCCAGAGGAAAACCCCATGTGGACCCAGCTGTTTGTCCGGGGGATGGAAACCTCCTGGGATTTGTCACTTTTGGAGCTTCCCCTGGGGGCCCAAAGCTTTCTCCATCCCTGGTTAAGTGAAGGAGAAGGACATGGGAACCGAGGGGAGACCCCCCCCCCCACACATTTTCCCCCCCGAGGCACCTTCTGCCTCTCAAGCTGAAATTAGATGCTCTGCAGCTGGCAAAGCGAAGGGATGGGGGTGGAAAATGAGCTCCCTGGGGTAATTTCTGGGCTTTTGAGAGGTGGGGAGAGGGGGGAACCGAGTGTCAAACCCCATCCCCTGGGGGCAGGACCACCTCCCCGAGCCGGATACTGGGCTGAAAGGGTTAATACTGGGAGAGTAACAGGCTGGAGTTGACACTTGGAGGCAGGCGGGGCTGCCGGCGCCTGATTGGCCTCAAATCGCATCCAAAAGTGGGTTGGTTTTTTTTTTTTTTTTTTTTTTTGTGGGTGGGGGGGGTTTTTTTTTTTTTTTTTTTTTTTCTTCTTTTTTTTTTTTTTTTTTTTTTTTTTTTTTTTTTTTTCCTCTTTCACTTCTCCTCCTCCCCCAGGCTCTGGCTGGCAGGGGAGGGGAGTGGGGACCAGCGAGAGAGAGAGAGAGAGAGCTCAAAAATAAACCTCTTATGTCAAAGCCGGGGGGAGAAAGTATAAATACAGCGGGCTCCGCAGCCGGCGCGGAGGCGCGGCGATGGGGCGGTGGGGTTTATTGGTGGGGGGCAGAGGTT